ATTTCCTGGCAGCGTGGGAGGTGGGAGGAGCCGCAAGACCAGCACTCCCACCCTTCCTCTGAGCCGGTTCTCTTGCACCTTAAGAAAATAACCAGGCGTGGATGGGTTTGTGACCTGGTGGCATAACTCGACGGGGGCAAGAGACTGTCCTTGTCCTCGTACGTGGCTTATTTGAGGCATCGAGGGCAACGCACAAACCTTGCGCACCGCAACACCGGTTGTGTGCAACTCAAATGGCTGAAACTTTCGCCTACAGGGGTTTAAGCAAGACAAAGCTGTGAATATAAAGACCTTGATTAATATATGCATAAAAGCATTTTATGCAAAATACGCATTTAAAAAAGTACTCTTAGGTCTGCATTGTAGGTGGGAGGCGCAGGTTTGAAGTATGCAGCTTGGCTTTGCCCCTTGCCTGGTCTTGCTCACTCAATTGTGGTGTTTGCTCTTTGCCCGCTGTCCTCCACCTAGGGACGGCCAGGAGGAGGGGGATTTGGGTGCCGGGGTGGCAGTCCTGGAGTGCAGAGCCTGTTAAACCAGAGCGGACAGAAAACAAGACGAGAGTGCAGCCATGCTCCCCTGCTCTGCCTGCTGTGAGCGTCTTGCATCGGGGCAGAGACTGAAACTACTCTTGTGGGTTGCACAAAACATAAGCCGCTGCAGTCCTACCTGCTGCGGGCTTGGACAGGAGGTGTGAAAATTGTGCCCCCCCCCCCAAGGTGGTCAGTGTTTGCTGGGACGAAACCCTTCAGAGATGCCTCCAGCATAGCCTGGCATCCTCAGAACTGGATGGCTCTGCTGTTCCACGGTCTTTCAATGTCTTCAATTGCAAATGAGGTTGGGGATTATTTTTTTTCATTCTCTTTTCTTGGTTGTGGGTTTTTGGTTTTTTTTTTTTTTTTTCCCATGAATTGCAGGCACTCCCTGCAGAAGAACAAGGCATCTGATGCACTTTCCTCCTCCTCCAGCCCAACTGGAATTTATCCTAATGGGGAATTAATTATAACCCTCCTGCACAACTGCTCGCATTCCAGGTTGGAAAAGCACCCGGGGTCTTGCAGGAGGTTATTCCGCCCTCTGGCTCCTTTTACATCAGCTAATTGCTGGTGAATTACAACACAGTCTCGTGTAGGAGGAAACATCTGTGCAGTCTTTGTGTGAGTAACCTTCGGGAAGATTAGTGGCAATGCTGCCCAAGGATGCCCCGCGGGCTCGGCATGGGATGCGGGGGTGATTCGGGGGGGGTCCGTGCTTGTCCCTGGGGCCGCAGCACTGAGCTGTGCAGCGCGTGGGAGGGGGGCATGTTGCTTGCACAGAAATCCTCTTCTGGCATCACTTGGCCATGAGCTTTATGTCACGAAAGCTTTACGGCTGGGTTTTCTTCTCTTGGACTTTGCTCCTGCGAGTACTGCAACAGGGGAGTTTTTGGGGCAACTGGTAGGAAGTGGGAAGATGGAGGAGAAATAAGAGGAGCCATCATTTCTGTATTCATTGAGTACATGCCTAGTGGTGGCACCCCAATGTGTTTATCAAACCAGCCTTTAGGACGTGGCTGCTTCTTCACCATGTGAGCATTTGAGGTTTACAGTTTCCTTCCTACTGCTGTAATTTAATCTTCCCTTCCAGCTTCCCTTGCTTTCTCAAGCATTTTCTTAACCAATATAATCAAGAAAAAGGGAAAAAAAAACCAAATTAAACCAGAAGCATCTGAATAACGTTGGATCAGCTGTTGATGAAGATTCTGGCCAGCAGCTCAGGCAGGGACTTTATGGGGTTTCCTAAATCTGCACCAACCTTTCTGTGGATTTAGGTGCCGTTACAGCTGGGCAAGATTCTTTTCTCTTCTTTAGGTGACTAAAATGCTCTTGGAGTATCTGGCTCTGAAGCCACTTAAGTGATGTTAGAGATGTTCCTCTCTCTGCTTCTCAGATTTGCTTTGGCTGCATGATTAATCCATAATAGTGATCTAATTCAAAATCAGAAGCTAGTCTTTCCTCTGATATTTTTGGGGGAGGAAAAACATTTATAAGTTTACAAAATGTTGCAACTCTGCGAGTTTTCTTTTTTCTTTTTTCTTTTTTTAAATTTTCTTTTTAATTTTTCTTTATTACATTTTTTGTTTTTTCTTCTTATTTTCTTGATGCTTAAGAAGGAAATCTCTTGCTTAGGGCATGACTGAAATCTTGCTAGCCCCCCACATAAACTCACAGTGGGTGATTTGCAGACACAAATGCACAAATTATGGCACTTTCTCTTTGGGTTTTTCCTCCCTGGATGTGCGTGAGCCCCTAACCTGGGGACCTCACCCTGGGAATGGCTGGGAAAGGTGTGAAGGTG